GGCCCATTAACACAGGCCCAGTTACAAGATAAGTTAAACATAAGAATGGGCTAATAAGAACTCTTATCAGCCGAACATCACTCTAACATTCTAACAAGCACAACCTAGGGTTTCTCATGTGAAGTCTAACCCAGCCGACCACATGAGAATCATCCAAGGCTGGAAGAATAGAAAGGAGCTGTCTTTGCCTGACTCTTGGAGGTTACCCAGAGATCTTTAGCAGCTGTCCGAAGATTGGAGAGTGATTCTTGGTAATCAGGAAGAATAAGAGAAGGTTAGAGGATTCAAGATTAGATTTTTATCAAGATTAAAGGAGGCGATAAGAGTTTTTCTGGGTAAGATCTCATCCCTTCTTGAAACAGTAGTAAGAAATAAGTTAAACTTATTCAAAAGGTAAGGCTGAGAAAATCTGATTTTTCTAGGGTTTGTTCTTAACCCTACAAACCTCTTTTTTGACTTTCTTGACTGAGCCTTTCTTGGAGGGATCGGCTAAAAAAAAGATCTGATCTTGATCTTGGACTGTGAATATCGGACTGAGTACAGTCCAGGATTATCTATCAAGGAGTTGATCCTTGACTGAGATTATTTTTTGAAGGAATTTGACTGTGTTTGCACTCTTGGCTGAGGTCAAATTCTGGACTGTTAACAGATACATTTCTGGTTCTTGTTCTTTGCTGAAATCAGCTTCTGGACTGTTAATATCTGGTATTTTTTTTTATTAAAGTTATAGTTTTAAGGAGAAACTATCAACTGAAACTAAGTTCTAGTACTTATTCTTTCTGAGATCAGATTGTTTATTCTCTGTTTTTCTTGAAAAAAATTACTTTTTCTTGGAACTTTGAGATCTACTTGGTATGAAAAAAGCTGGAAGTGAGGTAAAAACTCAAGGGGAAGTTTTTGGGACTGGTAATATGACTGAAAATATGTTCTAGATTACCACCGTTAGGTTTGATCGAACAAATTACTTGGAATGAGCCCAATCGGCAATGATGGCCATTGGGGGCAGAGGAAAATTAGGGTATGTAACCAGAGACAAAAGAACCAGCAAGGAGGATATATCTCACCCAAAATGGGTTCAAGAGATCTACTTGGTGATGACCTGGCTATGCAACTCTATATTGCCCCACATCAGCCAAAACTATCTCTGGACAAAAACAGCCAAGGAGATTTGGGACAGCATGAAGGAGACCTATTCCCAACCCCTCAATGTTGCTAGAGCTTACGAACTAAAATGTGAGGTGAAAAACCTCAAGCAAAGAGAGAGGCCAGTCTCAGTATATTTTGCTACTCTAAAATCCCTTTGGCATGAAATTGATCACTTAGAAACTATTGAATGGGAAAGCCAGAAGGATGCAGCAACATACATAAAACTGATTGAAACAAATAGGGTTTTCGAGTTCTTAGCTGGCTTAAACTCAGATTTTGATATTACAAGACAACAACTTCTCACTAGGGAGAGTGTGATCCTATCTCAGACCTACTCATTAGTCCATAGTGAAGAGAGTAGGAGGAAGGTAATGCTATCCTTCCAACCCACAAAAGCAGCCTTAGCAGTAGCAAAATTCATGGCTGGAGGAGAAAAGGAAAAGGAAGTTAAGAAGGAAGACAAAAGAGATAGTTTTTGTGATCATTGCAAGAAGCCCAAACACACTAGGGACACCTGTTGGAAGTTGCATCCTCACCTAATGCCTGCTAGACTTAGAAACAAGAAGGGAAGTGCTAATACAGCAACTACTACTGATAGTACATCCTCTTCCAGCACAAGGACCACATCCTTGGATGCCTTGGCAGCTGTCCGAGCTGCACTGACACAATTAGAAAAAGAAGCTGGTATTTTTGGATCAACATCTCAGTCTTCAGCTACTACACCATCTCAGCCTAATTCAGCCCTTGCTCATACAAGTACAAGAGCTACTGCATGTCATGCTTCTGTCCCAGGTAATACTAGACCCTTCTGGGTAATAGATTCAGGTGCTTCAGACCATATGACCAGCTTATCTACTTTATTTAGCACCTATTGTTTATCCTCTAGGAGAGACAAAGTTTCTATTGTTGATGGCTCTCTTGTACCAATTTCTGGCAAGGGAGACATCAGATTGTCAGATACCCTCACCTTATCCTCAGTTTTGCATGTTCCCAAGCTTGGTGCTAACTTACTTTCAGTTAGTAATATTACTAAAAATCAAAACTGTTCGGTAACCTTTTTCCCTGATCGGTGTGTTTTTTAGGATCTGGAAACGAAGAAGGTGATTGGGATTGGCCGTGAGATGAATGGAGTCTACCTGCTTGAACATCCACAGGGGGAGCAAAGTGAAGGAGGGAAATTGTTTGTTTCTCAGTCTTGTAGTAAGGTTATGCTTTGGCACAACCGCTTAGGTCATTTATCTTTTGGGTCTTTGAAGAGTCATTTTCCAAACTTGTTTGATTCAGTAGAAGTGTATAGTTTAAAATGTGAAAGTTGTGAGCTTGCAAAATACAGTAGATCATCTAATCCTTTAAGTAATAAAAGAAGCAACCTTCCATTTGAAATTGTGCACACCGATGTTTGGGGGCCATATCATACTCCTACCATGGGGGGGGGGGTACATATATTTCTTATTATTTGTTGATGATTATACCCGCTTTTCATGGGTCTACCTTATGCACTCTCGAGATGAGGTCCCTTCTTTGACCCAGGCTTTCCATTAGATGGTTCTAACCCAGTTTGAAACCAAGATCAAAACTCTTAGATCTGATAATGCTAAGGAATACTTTGCAAAACCCTTGGCATCCTATCTCCTTGATCATGGGGTCATTCATCAGAGCACTTGTCCTCATACACCTCAACAAAATGGGGTTGTTGAGAGAAAAAATAGGCATATCTTAGAGGTAGCCAAAAGCATCATGCTCAACTCTAATGTTCCCATACGCTTCTGGGGGGATGCAATCCGTACAGCCATGTACCTTATTAATACAGTTCCTTCACGGGTTCTAAACATGCAAACCTCGTTCAGTCTTCTATATCCAGATAAGGACCTATTCACTATTCCCCTCAAAACTTTTGGGTGTACTTGTTTTGTTCAAATCCTTGGACCTCATCGCTCCAAGTTTGATCCCAAAGCTACTAAATGTATTTTCCTTGGGCATGCACAGAATCAAAAGGGATATTACTGTTATGATATGGTTTCGAGGAAGCGCTT